TTCCTACTGTCTCATCTCAATCTCCCCTCTGTCAGTGTAAAGACAGTCCCCCTCGCCCTATCCCTATAGGCCCTTCTAAAAAGTCTCTCCAGATTTCTTGACAGTCCCTTTTAGGTATTGGAAGACTGTTATAAGGTCTCCCCTGAGCCTGCTTTAAGGCTTAAGGCCCTGGTGACCACTGTGCATTTTGCCTTAACACAGCCCAAACTAAGTGGGGAGCCCTGCTGTGGGAGAGCATGGCTCCTTTTTGCCTGACGATGTTTATTGTCTCCATGCTCCCAAGCATGTGCCAATTTCTGATCCAGATCTAAATCCAAGCCAAGGTGTTGCCTCTAATTTGGAAAGGACATTATGTTTTAGGCACCATATCTAAGGGTTATTAGCTAGCAGAGCACAAAGACAGCAACCGAGCGGCAGCTGCTGTCCAGAGGCTGTGCATGGGGAGGCCCTATATATAAAAATCGGCACTGCTGGGATCACACAGAAGCCTTTTTCATCTCTTCTTACTCATAGAGATCCTTGGGGAGATGCTTTATTTAGTCAAACATTGCTGAAAGGAACTGAGAAATTAGCCAGGCTTTGCTCCATGCACAACATGTGCCTGGGAGTGGACAACTTCTGTTGTTTCAGGTACAGATGTGTGCCACCCCTGCAAGGGGTAAAAGCTTTCTGCAGCAAAGTGACCACTTGCTCCCCATCTGCAGAAACTCAAAGCAAGAAGGAAGCCAGTTTTCACTCTTCTGTGAACCTAAGGAAGTGTGATTTTCTGAAGGTGGTGAGAAACAGCTTCAGACATCTCCAATTAGCAGGGTGGCACGTGAGAAAACCCAGCTTTGCTGGTCCCTGCTCCACAGCTGTCCTGGGATGAAGGGAGAGCACCAGCACGGGTGGCTGGAGCCCACACACACCCTTCCCCTGTGCCTGCCTGGCTTGGAGCAAGCCCGGTGGTGTGTAGGGCAGAGGAGAGGGATATTTCTGCATGAGCTGCTGGTTCAAAGTTGCCAGTGCTATTTCAGGCAGCAACACCTACACCGTCTTCCAGAGGGCTGTATTTTCCAGTGGGCACTTCAAATCAGGCCTCCCTCCTTCCCTCACAGGCCAGCTGTAAGCAACCTCCCTCCCAGAATCAACAGACAAACAAGCCCAAACATCTCATGGCCACTGGGTCCAATGCCATAGCCCCAGCATGTTCTTAGATCCCACCAAGGGCACAGCACCTTCTGACTGAAACAAACCCCAACGCCTCATCTCCCAAGAAGTACCTGCTGCAACAACAGGTCCTCTGCCTGCAAATCCTCCCGGGGATCTGCCACCAGCAGATTACATGCCCAGACTAAGCTTAGCTAATCCTACAGGCAGGTCGCATACTTCATCCTGGAACTGCGCAGCGTTTTCAGTGAGGTGCTCCAGGAGATGCACAAGTTCTAATCAAAGCTACTTTACAACTTCCTGCATATGGAGGCAAGAAGATATTTGCATCTCTGTGAAAGCAGAAATCAAAGCCCAAAGAGGTTAAATCCACACCAGTGAGAGCCCCTCCTGTATAGAAAACATGTGCAAGTATCTGTTCCACACAGGAAACATGGACTCACGGAGAGCAGACGATGATAAAAGCAACTTCGAAAGACCAGGAGGGTCAGGACCATAACTCCCTTTCTGGACTCAAATCAGGAGGACCCCCAGCAGGGATACCAGATATCACACAGCCACCCCACCAGTGAGAGCCAGCACCATGTCTTGCACTTGTTTCTTCCACCTTGATCTGTGCATGTAGGCACAAAAGAGATAAAAGACAATCCAAAATTAGGGAGCTAAAAGACGTAAAGAAAAGAGACAGGAAAAGCAATAACAGGCATCATTATATAACAGTAAGGAAAAAAAAACAGTAATACTCCCAGTGCAGAAGAGGTTTTAAGATGGGCAAGTGGGAGGTGAGACCCACAGGGTCCTAGTCCCAGGGCCCAGATGCTCCCTGTGTGCCAGCAGGATGCCATGGCTGGGCAGAGTTGCCTCGGGATGTGGCAGGTAGGGAAGTTCCAGACTCCCAAGCCTCCTCAGCAGCAGTGAGCTGGCCAAAGTGGGAATCTTCCTGCCTGGATCTCAGCACAGGGGGGCAGACACAAAGTGGCCCAGGCAGTACCGGCATAGGACAGCTGCACAGACTGGTTTTCCTGTTCTGCATCCCACTTTCCATGCTGCCTTTGCCTCTCCTCCAGCCTTCCAGACTGCCCAGCGAGGTTCTGGATCCCATGCAGAGCATCACCACCCTCTTTCTCTCCTCCAAACAAGCTGTGAAAGCAGCAGAAACTGTTCCTTGGAGAGACAGACACAGAGATGCGCTGACCACACACCTAATCCTGCCACGCATCCTGAACTCGACAAGCAGTGAGAGCAGAGGACACGCAGCATCTTAGCCTGTGAGAAGGGGATGAATCACTGAAAACAGACACAGGCACGGAGCCAGAGTAGGGAGAAGATGGTCCTGCGAGGCCTCCATCTTTGGGAGTGGGGGGACTGGAGTGATCAGAGCTATGAGGTCCCTCTCCATCCACCCAGAAGTCCACCCATCACCTGGCTCCCTGACTTCATAGTATCCCTTACAAGGCTGCAGCCTGGCTGTGCCTCAGAGTGCACATCATGCCTGCACACTTCACCCCCTCCCAACTCTGGAGTTGTACTCAGCCACCTGTACCCCTCCAGATCTCCCCTCCCAGCAGAAACAAAGGAGCAAGAGGGCAACTATGGCCTGGTTTCCCAGTCTCCCTTTCCATCAGCTTGGGTGCTATGAATCAGAACTTCCTGCCAGGAATGTCACCTTCAGCAGTCACCTCTCAGCTGAACCGAGAGCATGGAGTGCTCAGGGAACCACAAGTTCAGCAGGCTGAGGCTCCTGTTTCATCTTCATCACTGAACCAAACCACAGTTATGACAGTTCCCAACCACCAGCTCTTATTTTCCTTCTGCCACAGAGCCCTGCTGAGACAATGCTCCCAACAACCTGCAAGAGCCCCTCAGCCCAGAACCCTCCTCAGACCATCAAAAATATAGAGACAAAAGCATCAGCTCCAAGAGGGTGTCACAGGCACAATGACATCCCTTAACTTGTTGTTACATCAACCTACATGTTAACACTTTGGGCCTGATCCAGGAAGCAATGGAGCAGCCTCTGTTCCTCTTAAAGTCATACCCTGCTGCTGAGAGATGTGCGCGTTCGAAATCCTTGCTTAAAAAACTCAAACAATAAAAGCCACGTGCCATTTGCTGTGGTTTCATCAGATGATGAGACCACAGAACCAAGAAATTCCCCCATTTCCCCTTTTTGTAACTCTGCAACAGCTACTTCACAAATTATGTTCACGATGGCCCACATACAGATGCACATGAAATTAGTTTCTTCCAAATTAGTTTTCTCGTATGCAGTCCAAGCCCATTTTCCTCAACAACATATTATGATACGCAAGGTTCCACCTTTCTCCCAGGAAACACATCTTCTAAATTTATCTTTTGGATAACTAGAAGAAGAGACAGGTCCGGTTTTCAAAATCTGGGGTCAGCAGTCCTGATGGCAAAGTATTCACTCCAGAAACACCTAGTTACTAACACAACAACCACAACACTCGTGTGTTCATTACAGAGCTAAGTATAACTTGATGAGGCCCTTTGCTTTTAATGAGGCAAAAGGCCAATTAACCTGATGAGGAAGTACAGCGTGCTGTCATTGACTGGGGGACCTGGATTCCCTGGAGATATGCCCTGTATATCATAGAATAACAGAATCACAGACTGGTTTGGGTTGGAAAGGACTTAGAGCTCATCCCGCTCCAACCCCCTGCCATGGGCAGGGACACCTTCCACTAGAGCAGGTTGCTCCAAGCTCCATCCAGCCTGCCTTTGAATACTGCCAGGGATGGGTCATATCCTCATAATCCACCGAAAACGAGAGATTCAGATCCATTTCTGATGGCATGGCGCAGCACTTGGAACTGCCCGGGTTAACACCGGCCTTCTCCGGATTCTGTGACACAGTATCTGAGCGTTCAAGCTGGACCAAGGGCCAGCCTGGCATTTCTGTCAGCTCAGATCCTAACCCTGGGAAAATGCAGTCATTGTCTTTGCCCGGTCCCCCACAGCCCAGCCCATCGCAGGTATTCGCCCTGCCGGAGGACAGCACGGGAAATCCAGGCGCAAAAAGAGTAACGCTTCCCGGTGGAAGTCATTTCATAATCGCGTTCACGGAGGTGGTGGAGGATCAGAACACAGCATGCACACAACAGGAGAGCAGCGCCAGTGCGTTGTCAGGAGACATCTAAACGCACTGAACGAACAAAAGAAACCCCCAACTTCACACCGCGAGGCCGTTATTTTGAAGGAGGAAAAACTTCCCGGCACTTAGGGCACACCTCGAGAGCCAGCATCAGCCCCCGGCCCTGCAACCCCGCAAAACGGCCCCTCTCCTCATCAGTAAACATGCCCCGGGGCGGGGAGCACATCAGGCAGCACCGATGCGCGCAGAGCGAGCAGAGCCACCACCGCACGCCGGTTCCGGCTCTCCCGACCTGGAGCCGCCTGCCCTCACCCGGGCGAACAGGGGAAAACGGCACCCGGGGCGGGGGGCGCTGGAAAAGCGCCGAGAACGAGGGCTCCAGCGCGCTACCGCCCGAAGGACAGCCGGCGGCCCCGGGCGCAGAGGCAGCCGGGCTGTGGGCCTGTCCCCGGGGCTCGGGGCTGCGCTACTGGCACGGCGCCGGGGGACCGGGGCAGGACCTTGAGCCGGGAGCCCGGGGGAAGAGCGCGGCCGTAGTGGCCGGGCCCGGTGGAGCGCATCGGTCTCCGGTGCAGGCTCGGCTCCCGGTGCCGGCCGGCGGTGAGGCGGGGGGTGATGGCCGGGCACCCCTCTTCAGCCCCGGGGGTAGGGACCCGTCGCCCCGCGGCAGCTCCCCGCCGCCGCTCCCGCGCGTCCCCCGGCCGCCGCCCCCCTGCCGCCGCGGCGCGGCCCGTACCGCAGTCGGCGCAGAGGATCCGCGCCACGTCCCGCTTGAGGTTCTTGCCGCTGGTGTCGAGCGGGGCGAAGGCGGTGCGGAAAACGAGCGGCTCCTCGGTGGGCTCCAGGAAGAAGATGTAGCGGTGGTTGCGCTTCACTTTGAAGCAGGGAGCCTTGGAGCCCACGCTGATGAGCTGCTCCCGCTGCAGCCCGCCGCTGTTGAGGGGCCACAGGTCGAGAACCTTGACCAAAACCCCCCCGGCAGCACCGGCGGCTCCGCGGCTGTCATTGCCGCCGCCGGCGGGGGGGCCCACGGACTGCACCTTGCCCTCCAGCACCACCGCCGCCGTGTACGCCTGGTCCTGCACCGACTTGAGGCTGGGCGAGTAGCAGGCGAGGGAAACGCCGAAGAGCAGCATGGAGAAGCCGGGCGCCGGGTCGCGCCTCATGCCGCCGGCTACCGCTCGCTCCCCGCCGGCCCTGCGGCGGCCGGGCTGCGGGGCTGCGGCGCGGCGGGCGCGGCGGGGCGGAGCGGAGCGGCACGACGCGGAGCGGCACGACGCGGAGCGGCGCGGATCCTCCTCCGAGCGAGGGAGGTGGGATGCGCTCACCGCCGCCCCTTCCTCCGGGATGCTGACCCCCACCTGCCCCCTAAAACGGTGATTCCCCGCCCGGGACTCCCCCCGCCTCGGGGATGCCCGCTGCAGCAAAGGGGATCCCTGCATCCCTGCATCCCGCCTCCTGAAGGGTTGGGGGTCCCGGGGATGGAGGCAGATCGTGCTGTCTCCATCTCAGCCGTGGAGCCAGCCCCTCGCCAGGCCCCCAGTCGCCTGTCCAAGATGCCATCAAAAAGGCACGCTTTTGGGGGAGGCTGCAGGTGCGTGATTTGCAGGGCCAAGGAGCCGGGGGGGGGGGGGGGGGTCCTATTTTCCCGATGTTTTTATGGAGCGGGGAGATTTGTGCCTGAGATCCCCTGTGCACCTGAAGAAGAGAAGACATTAACCCAGAGACAAATGGAGTAAGGTAATAGCTGAGGAGACAAAGCCTCCTTTCATGCCCTGATGCCTGCTGTCTCTTTTTAATAAACAAGTGCTCTTCCCCTGCAGTGGTTTCCAGGAGGAGTCAGTTTAATCTCCAAAAAGTGGCTTATTTCAATTTATTTTTCCAAGCTGATCCTGAAGCATCTGTACTCACAAAGCCTCACCGCCCAGATGCTACGGTGTGGAAGGGATCTGAGGTGCTAAATTAACAGCAGAGGACTTCACAGTTGTTGTTGCACAGGATTTGCGTTGGCAGGGAGGGGCCATAGTCCCACCGCGGTGGAGGTGACCTGGAGGCAGAATGCCGGGCTCAGCCTGAGGCAGAGGGCTGGAGCACAGACTGGAAGCAGGGACACGGCTCCTGCCCCAGTGGCTTTACAGCCTCAAGAGAATCCCTCAGCACACCCCAAAAGCACCAGCTCTTGGAGTGCATCAGGGAGAGCAGAGGAACACAGAAGGCAAGATCCCATTTAACACAGTGCAGCCAGAATCATCAGGAAAAATGGGAAGGGAGCAGAGCTCTGTGCCCAGCACAGGCACTGCCAGCTAGCTGCTTTTCCTCCTCTCCAAGGGGGATAACAGCTCTCTGAGCAGCTCTGCCATTGCAGGACCTTGATGCTTCACAAGCAGCACAGTGTGTTAACGGCAAGGCTTGGGGAGCATTTCTTGTGTGCTTTTTCTCTCGCTGACTCTGATTCTCTGTGGCTGTTTTCAGATGTTTTTGAAAGCTTTCTCTCCTGCCCTGTTTGGTGACAGTGCAAAACTGCAGAGGAACACAGGTGGAGGCAGAAGGGACCAGGAGTGTTTCCAGTGGCAGATGGAAGGACAGTCTTTTGGATTCAGGAAGCTGCTTGAAGGAGCAGGGAAACCACCTGACCTCCCTCTGTTTTTGACACAAATCCTTGTGGAAATTCCCCTATCCCTAACACTGCTCAGACAGCAACACAGGTTCTGCCTTAGAGGGAAGGAGATACTGGACAGCATGACTGGATCTGGAGCTCTCCTACTCTACCCTGCCTCTCACCAGAAAAGATGGTTTAATTCCCAGGCATTTGAGTTGCTAATCCTTGTCCTCTCCCTGCTTGCAGGTTGAAATCCCAGTGGGACCACAGTGGTTCAATCACTGAGAGAAATTCAGCACAAAACACCTGTGAAGCCTATGGGGCAGTCCTGAAAAGTGAGGGGTTTCTTTGTCTCTGGGGCATTTTGGAGTCAAGGACACTTGGCCTCATAAAAAGGCACTGGCCACATCTCCTTGTAGCAGTATTTTTCCTTCTGTTCAGCCTAGCTCTTGTGAAGACAACTAGTCTTCATCACCAGAGATGCTTGAATTTCTTTTACCATTCCCTGCTGCTTCTCCCATATAAATGGAAAATCATTCTTTTCTGTAGGTCCTTGGGTATTTTGGCACATGAAATGAATAAGGCAAGGCCTGGGTGCAGTTACCAGCCCAATCTGAACACTGGTTTCAGAGAATAAAGCCTAAATAACATACTCTTCAATTGCCTTGCAAAGACTTGACCCTGTTCACAGAGTAACAGGCTAACTAAGGTTGGCAAGGAACCTCAGGAGGTGTGTGGTCCAAGCCCCTGCTCATAGCAGGGCCAGCTGGGGTAGCTCGCTCCAGGTCATGCCTAACACAGGCTTGAACCTCCCTGGTGAACTTCTTCCAATTTTGACCACCTTCATGGTGAAAAATGCTTCTCCTTATCCCTAATGGAAATTCCTGTGCTTCAGCTTGTGCCTGTCATGTCTTGCCCACCTCTGCCCCTCTACCACCTCTCTGAGATGGCCACCAGCAGCTCCAAAACCTCCTGCTCTCCAAGCTGAACAAAGCCAGCTCAATGAGGCTTTTCCCAGATCTCCTAACCTCCATCCCCTGACCTCTGCAGCTCTCATTCTAGTCTGTCAATGTCTTTCTAGCTGGAAAGTCCCACCTCAACCCAACCTCCAGCTGGGATTTCCAAATGCCACTTAGATGGGAGGGATCCCTTCTCTCACGCTGCCTGTCGTGCCCTGGCCCTACAGCAGGTTTTGTGGGCTCTAGGAGAAGTTCTGTTTATTAGGGAGAAGACCAGCAAGGGGCCAAAGAACTTCTTCAACGTGCTGCTTTCAGGTGGTTTATGCTTGCCTGCAAGTCATGCTTGCGTTCGCTACGGATCTCAAAGAGACAGCTGGAGGGAGAAGGTCCTAATTCATACTCCAGGGCTGGAGGCTGTGTTTCCTGGGGGATGATGGGGATGCACAGGGAGATAGCTCAAAGTGTGCAGGGACAAGGTTGACCATTACCCAGTGAGGGCAGAAAAGCCAGGCAGGAGGTGCTATGGTTTTGTTGATGGGAAAGTGCACAGGGAAGAGTGATGGCTTACATCTAGCATGCCCATGGGCTGGTGATACTGAGTCACATCCTTCCCTAACATTTCCCTCCCAGGCTTAGCATTGCCTGGTGGCATAGGCAGTGATCAGGATCCTTTGCCTCTGGGCTGTACCATGCATCACCATAGAATCGTAGTTTGGGTTTGAAGAGACCTTCAAAGCTCATCTAGTCCAACCCTCCTGCAATGAGCAGGGACATCTTCAACTAGATCCGGTTGCTCAGGACCATGTCCAGCCTGGCCTGGAATGTCTCAAGGGATGGCACATCCACTACCTCTCTTTTCAAAGCTTTCTAGAAAGATCTCAGACGAGCAACAGTGTTGGGGCTCAAGCATTGTGCCTTGTTGCAGGTCAGGGATTTGCACTGATTCTATCTGCATGGGCAGATGAATAAAAACCTTTGGGCTCCACAACCAGTTTGCCAAATAGAACTTCTTAAATCTCACCCTTTGCTTCTAGATACATTTCCTGCAGCTCTCGTATCTGCTCATCAGAGTAGAGACCCTTATCCCCATTTCACTGTGACTGCATCACCAGCTCTCACATCTTTGTGACCTCTTCTGCTATGCATTTGGTCTCAGAGTCTCCTCCATGATTGTTATCTGACATCATCTTTGCTTAGGCTCAATGCTGACATTTTCAAATTTTCACCCTGTGAAGGATGGTCAAAACTGTGGCGAATTTAAACACTTCCCAGCTTCTTCCCTATTCTGCAAAATCCACTGCGCCTTTCAGTAAAGAGGCTTTGTGTCTGTCATCAACCAGAAGCCAGACCTTTCTGCACCAAACCATCTCAATGCAGTTCTTGAATACTTGTGTCTCTGGCCCATCCATACTACTTCCCTTCTGGGATTTTATTTCTTCATCTTCCATGTTTTCCCTTTGTCAACCAGCAAAGTCAGCTCATTCTGCATTCAGGCACCAGCTGGGATCCTTCATGAAGAGCCATTATTTCAGAAAACAGCTGTTTCATCCCCTGGCTGCTTTAATTTCTCCAAAGCCTGTTTCTCCCCTACCTCCCTGCTGTGAAAACCCATCATATTTGGACCATGAAAGGAAGATGGAGCTGAGCTCAGCCCACATCCCACCCTTCCTGGAGGACTCCAAGAGGTTTATACCCCTCAGACGACTGCTGCAGGGGCTGGTTTTTCATTCACCTTTAGTTTTGCTCCTCCAATTTCACAGGGTTGCTTGCAAGACAAATCACTTCTCAGGTCTCTTTCTCTCTGCCAAAGGAGTTCCTGGCACAGAGCTCTGCCTGGTGACAGATGTCACAAAGGGTAGTGTCCCAGGAGATGCCACTAAGGATCCCTGTGTCCCTCCACACTTCAGGGAACCCTGAAGCTCTTCTAAAACGGCATCTGCAGACTGACTAAGCAGGACCATGATCAAAATAAACCATATCTGGCAGTCCTTCCAGGTAGATAAGGACTAAGATGGAGAGAGACCTCTGAAATCTATTCCACTGGCCTGTCAAAGGCTCCAACAAGCAGAAAAGGAAAGCAAGACCCATTCCAGGAGTCCTCCACCAGCAGTGCTGCCACGGTCTCCGTGGTTTCCTCAGCTTACTCCTTCCCTGCTCTGCTCCCATATCTCTTGCCTATAAATGTCACCTCCTGGACCAGTGCCAGCTGGGGCAGGACCAAGGGATGTAGCTGTAGTCACCAGTGCTGCCTCTCCCAGAAAGAGATCATGATGGCATGGAGGCGCACTGAAGCTACCCCTCCTGCCCTGAGCTCTAAGAATATTGTCCTACTGGCTTGCTGTGAGATCCTCAGGAGTCCAATGAAAAGTTGGGCACCTTTGCTGTTGGAAGACAACCCAGTGCTTCACTAGAGGAATTAAACCTATCCCAAGAAACCTGCTCTCTCTGGGCATATGGCAATCCAGGGGAAGAAAAGCCAAGAACACGTGGTTTCCCAGGGCAGAGAAGCTATTAGGGTTCCCTGAAGCCTCTTTGTGCCATATTAACCCAGGTGCAAGGAATTAAAAATCCACTCATCCGTTGAGGAATTAAGTGTTTCTTATTTGCTGCCCTCCCCAACAAACTCATTCACTCCTTGTCCACCCACACCAGCAGGAATGATGAATGAAG